AAGCCTGATATCAACTACCATGGTCAAACATGGCTAGAGAGCAGCGACAACGAAAAACTTGACTATATTGAAAGGATCACCACAATTAACTTTTGAAGAAAATTGTATGTTGTTTAATTAATTAATAATATAGTTCAATGATTATTTTCGTTCAACGATATATAAGTTCAACGATACGTGTCGCCTCTCATAGTTAAAAGTTTAGCCCTTGTGTGTTTATGTCGTCTTTTACCACTATTTATTTCTGTTAGACTTGTAAACATATTTATATAACCTCTTCTTCTTTTTTAAATAATTTGTAAAATTAATGTGACCCCCTCCCCCTCCCTGATAAGGCTTGGCTTTTGGGGAAAACGTCTAAATAAAGTTTATATAAAAAAAGTTAATTAAGTAAAGGAGTGGTCATTATTTATGGGGGGAGGGGGTGGTTGGTAAACAGGGGAAAATAAGGATTGAAAACTTTTTTGACCCCCCTCCAGACTGAAGGCAAACTTTTTGTGCCCCACCCCCCCATAAAAGTAGAAACTTTTCTAACCTTCCCCCCCAGTGTAGATTGAAAAATTAACAGCAATGAAACAGGTGTGCGTTGCAGGTAAAGTTAGATATTAGGACAATCTGTTTGATCTAGCTCATGATGTTTTACCGTGGTGAATATGATTCAACCATATATGATTAAAAAATATATATTATGTGTTACTACTTTGTAATGCAACATTTGGCCTACCATAACACTAACCCATGGCCCGTCTTCATATAGCGAAATGATTTGAACACAGGACATTTTTTAAGAACTTGTCTGGGGGGGGGGGCATCTAGAAAAAGAGACCATAGTATACTGAGTGTGAAGAGATGACAGATGGTTGTTGGTGAGAAAAAGTTTGGTGTGGTATTGTATGTGCTAGTAGGGAGGTCTGATGATATTCTCCCCCAGAAATTGTTTTGTATTTTTCCACCCCTAGGACTGAAATCTGAGCATTTTCTGAAACAGATTTTTGGACATACATCGTTACATTGTGCTTTGATAGACCGAATCTTATCAGTTAAGTACTTGCATGATATGTTTATGTAAATACCACAACTGGGTCACTCAGAGGGTAGGAAGCTTGTTAAACTTAGTGGGCCCGACTCCCACGAGGCGCTACCATGGTTGGCACCGAGCAGGGAAATTTTGAAAATTTCTAGATCGTTGGAAATGGCATTTTCAGAGTCTTCTTTGCCTCTTTGGCATTATGATTTATGCACGAATCTATGCTATTTGTGATTATAGAAATCAGAACTCTAGACATAGTATTTAAGTTTAAAAACTTTTTTACCCCTCCTTCCCATAAACAATGACCACTCCCTAAAGTTAAGTAATTAAGTTAAGTTAATTAAGTTTATTTGATTAGTTTCAAACTGCTATAGGTTCTTAAGTGGCGACGATACTGACATCAATTGTCCTTTTATACCTTATTAGTTATTACGAGAATGCCGCGATATTCTTCGCTGGAAGCTTGTACGTTGTCTTCGGCTCGTTCACGAAAGCATGGTTGGCTGCGTGATACGCGTGGGAGACACGTACGTGGACTGCGTGGGTTTCAGAATGGCATGACCAGTTAGGGGAGGGGCATGTTGAGATTACTGGATATTTGAAGGAGGTATCCACTTCACAAACGCCTTGACTAACTGTATTTTGTTCAAGTAAATTCAGTTTGATAAAGTAATGTTTAGTCGAGTATGCTAATACGAATCATTACTCACAACCGAAATGTCTGAGTCTCTGGAAAACAAAGTACAGGGCTTATCCACCAAGCTGGCGTGCATTCCTCGTTGATCATTAATTTTAGGTATGTGTATCTGTGTCTGAAACATTTCTTCTTCTGAATCTAAGGATAAATTTAATTGCGTTAAGAAATCTTGGTGATCTGAGTGCATAAGAGAAAAAGTTCATACTAGAGTTGGCCAGCACAAACAGATGCTGTAGATCTTTAAACCAATGAAGAGTTTTACAACTGCAGGACGTGCAAAACCCCAATGCATAAATAAGTACGGTTGATGGAGCATAACAACATAACAAGGCGAGAAGAACTACCAGGAATATTTTAGTGATTTTCTGTTCCATTTGCATTGCGTTTTCGCGGCGCTGGTTTGCATTTCTGCTTGACAAAGTGTCCTCATTTCTACCACCGAGCTGGTAATTCTCGTTTCCTGCGCTTTCAGTATGCCGTGAGCGGTTTTTTAAAGATCTGAGCAGAAGGCCGTAGGTGAAAAAAGTAATGAAAACAGCAACTGCAACTGCAGAATTCGCGAAAATAAAGGCATATGTTATAAATCCAACTTCTAGATAGATCCAAGGTAAGATGAGCGAGATAAACCAAATACCGGCAATTGTAAGCAAGATTCTTTTTCCGGTGTACTTGTTCCTATAGTTATATGGATCTCGGATCGCAACGTAACGCTCCACTGCTAGCGCAGCAAGACTAAGGACTGATGCAGTGCACGAGATGAAATATGACATGTGGTTTATTTGATAGTCTAATTTAGTAACATCCGAATCTTTCACTTCCTTCCAGTGAATATAGACAGAGAACGGATCAGAGATTATTCCCACAATAAGATCTGCGAAAGCCAAGTTGGCCATTAGGTAATTGAAAGGGGTACGGAGGTTCTTATAAGGATTTATTGCAATAACTAATATCACTAGGAGATTTCCGGGGATATTAAGGAGCGTCAAAAGAAGGGATAGAGATACAGAAAGAATGGATAGTTCTTTTGGTGGCCCTGTGTCAAAACAACGATCAAATTCTGCTTGCAATTGATAAGGCATTGTTGATTGGTCTTTCGAAACCTAGAATAAAAAAAATATTACACATTGCAATTATTTTAGATCATCACTGATAAAGATTAAAGGCACTAATCGCACTAATGTGCAAAACATTCTGTCTCGAACTGTAATTTCATGGTTCAAAACAGTTCCATGCAGAGCCCGAGTAGAGAGGACCTCAGGACCACGTATGCTTTTTGTATTTATCTTAGCTAGATGAGTGCATGAGAGTGCTTCATAAGTGGACTACGTTTTAACATTTTAAATTAGCAAGAGTAGTACCAGTATTTAAAAGTGGGGCACAGTCTAATATGAGGAATTATCGACCAATCTCGCTTCTCTCTGTGTTCAGTAAGCTCCTAGAAAAACTCATGTATAATAGATTGATTGACTTTATTAGGACTGAGAAATCTATAGTCTACCCAAAACAGTTTGAGTATTGTTGATAAAATTAAATACTGAATTCAATTGACAATCGAGAATATTCTTATGGAATATTCTTAGATTTTAGTAAAGTGGAAGAACCCAAGTAACTGTGTTCGGTGATAGTTTATCTACCATGCAAGCAATCAACTATTTCTTGTGGTGTGACTCAAGGATTCGTGTTGGGTCTTCTATTATTTCTATTGTATATTAATGATTTTAGTAACTGCTCTAGTGTACTTGATTTACATGTTTTTGCAGACGATGCCAATTTATTCTACTCCGGCAGATAAAAAATTATCTGATCTTGCTCGAATTGGTCTTAAACGTTGAATTGCAGAAAGTCCACATATATGGCTGTTCTCCAATAAGTTATCTTTAAACGCCTAAATAAATCAAACTTTGTTATTTTCCACTCATCTCAAAAGAAACCGATTTCTACAGTAACATTAACTATAAATAGTGAAATACTAAAAGAAGAAAAATGCGTGAAATATTTAACCATGCAATGACCACATTTTCCAGCGGTTATTTATACTAAATGTTGTGTTCAAAATTTACTAAATCGACAAAATTTGAACCAAATCTCACCCCAAGAAATTAATGCAATTAATGCCCTTCAAAAACTACTGTGATGTCATGGCTTCGACAAGATCACTCGAAACCGGCAAATCAGTCCTACATATTCCATGTTGTTGGTCTATATCTATATGTTTGAAATTAACGGGTTTTGCAGGTTAGATAGTTTCATGTTTTTGTCATCATTACTACACAAGATCACGTCTAAAGACTAAACACGAATTTTTACAACAAATATGAAATTCGTCAACATGCATATATACTATTTTATTATAAACTTCTGAAATTCAGGATTCCATATGTATTTTTATTTTTTAAATTTTATTTTCCCATGTACATTACAATTATTAATACATTATTAAAAATTAACTATTTGGGCTAGAGACCTACTAGAAACCTTTGCAGGCTTTTGTTTCTAGGCCACTAGTCATGTCCTATTTAGATTATTTTATTATTTACAGTAATTTGTAAGATAATGTTAAATGCAGAAGAAAAGTTTTATAAGGTATATACAAGATATTTACAAATTTGAGGTATGAAGGGTAAATACTGTAGTGTTTACAATATTAAGATAAAGAGATATACTAGTTAGATTTTTATGTGATATTATTTGCACAATGACAATGCATGGACATTGTCTGCATAAAGAAAGTGTGATTTCTGAACCTATGTATTTGTAACTGGATTAGTGGATTTAGTATAAAGTGTTGCTTAATTCTTGAAGGTATTATAGAAACGTATGTCTTTCAGATTTGTTTCTAATTTGTTGCTATAATTTACAGTAAAATAGCTTGATGCAACTTTATAAAAAAGCATCGCTTTTTGCAGTCTTGAATCCAGGGTTGGGTAAAAAATATTTGACTGACTTTTAGATTTAGGCCAGTATATATAGCTGCGGCCAGCTAGTATATATAGGGGTTTTAAAAGCGCGTCATCATATTATTGTGACATTTGCATCATTTGCATGTAGCTACATGCATGAATATTAATTTATAACTAGGTTACCCACAGGGCAGTAATGCTGCCTTTGACAGCAAAAGACAAACTACAGGGTGTTGAACGAGTCCTTCAGAAACATCCTATTATTGTTATCCTTGTTAACCCATTTATTGACAGTACCCTACCACTGACTGAATATTAAAAATCGTCTGGCGTTGGACAGAGTAAATACTAAAGTAGGGTTCATTACTGTGCTGATGGATTAACAAGAGACACTGGCAGATAGGTTTGTTAACCCATTTACTGGCAGTACCCTATACCACTGACGAGTAAAATCTTCTGGCGCTGGACAAGGGAAGGGCGCGTTGCCAGTTAATGGGTTAAACCACCGTGGTTAAACATAAGATTTGATGCTCCAGGAAATGTAAACAAGCTATCAGTGTGACATCCCAGTTTATATATTTATATACTCGGAATATTGATTTCTCGGTATATACAAAATTATTTTAAAGTATAACAACCAGCGAAGAAGTAAGCCACTAACTACCCTGCGCGACTGCGCGCAGACTATATAATGACATATATATGTCCGTTATATAGTCTGCGCGCAGGCTAGCCATTATTAAACGTTTCTAGTATGTTTTAAATGTATACACAAACGTTTTGCGACCGCCGACAGCCGACCTCTGAACTTTGATAAATAAAGCTGATTATTGCGCGTTCTAAGCCACGCATTTGCATGGGAACCTTGTACTTGGAAGCACAAATTTATATATATATATATATATATCGAAAAAATGCCAAAATATTGACAATATATTTGTACAATTATAGCAAAATCGCCTGACTGGGTCAACTATAAATCTAAACACAATAGTCTAGCTAAATTTCAAGTCCGCATGATTATGGGATTTCATTTTACGCTCCCGGCTATCGAGTTTCGTCTGTGATTTGCATGTGACCGAAATAAACGCTTTATAGAACAACATCGTACAGGGATACAACAAAGAAAAGTCAGTCGTGCTGGGGACGTAATTCAAATATGTTATATGAAATGCACAGCTGCATGTTCACAAGATGGGAGTGCATGCATGTTCGTAGCGATGTGTGTTCCCGGACCTGGCGGGCCTCGACAGCAACAAAACTCGAAACCATTCTTCGCATCAGTTTTAGGTTTTGAATAAAATAACATGAATCAATGGATTACATTTTGAAAATAGTCGTGCTGCCTCAATTTCCCTTTTTAAAAATTGGTCAGCTCCTCACCAGTTCTTCCCATGACATTCTGTGAAAGATAATCCCCAAAGCTAACACTACACTAATAATCCCGCAATACCGCAAGGTTAAGTTACGTTCACACGATCAGACACCGAAATGTTCACATGAAAATTCGTGCGGTTATATCTGTGCTCGCCTCAGTTTCATGCGTCCTATGTGAACGCACAAGGAAAAATCGTGATATTTTTTCCTCACTATTCAGTGGCTGAAATCGCACATTGGGGTTGTCCAACCATGCATGTCATTGCTATAACTAAATGTTTCTAGGACTGTACTATAATGTCACGCTTCATAGTTGCTTCATGCAGCAGTCTCTGGCTCTCTGACTCTGTATAGTTTTCGTTTCGAATTTAAGATAAAATTATCATTATAAATATTCACTTACAGTTGCTATGTGTAGTGCAGATTTTTCCACAGTTCACTGAAATTTATAGTGCCAGCGTCAAGTATTATTGCTTTACTTTCACCATATGATTTAAGTGTCGTTCCCTTATACTTATAGTTCTAATCGTTAATTTGCCACATTTTTAATACATGCCCTGCACCTGCTGAGAAAACAAAGCTGCAATTGTGATGATTCATTCCGGTTCATTATTCTTTTCGTTTGACAAATTTTGCTAATGAAATAATAAAAACAAATAATTAATTAAGAAGGTAACAGAAATATTGTGGTCGTTTCAACTTTCAATAATTATGGAACTTTAAAGCACGCGCATTGTCGATAATAAATTCTCGCTGACGGCAGAATGTCTGCTAAATGTAAATCAATTTGATCTATAGGATTGAAACCATTCAGCACATTTTGTGGAGTGCAGCTGCATTGGAGATACAGCCAAAGGCACTTCTGTAGTATCAAGTAGTATATGGTCGGCCTCTGGGGCAAAGTTTACCTGAGAAAAATCTCACTATATACATAGCTTACACAAGAACGGGAACTCCGAATAAAGACAACATTTTTTGATTTAACGTTTCGACTTTATTTAGTTATCATCGGGAATGGATATATGGCTTGCAGCATGAAATATGACTTCAGTTTTGTAACTCGTGAATTTATTTCCTCACTCTTTCTCACCCCTATTTGCGGTGAAAGTGAGGGAGTAGATTGTAGAATACAAACAAATATACAAACAGGCCACGAGCAGTCCTAGACTTCAGATTATAAATAATTAAAACTATAAAAATAATAAATATGTCATGAATAAATCAGAATTGTATGCCTATAACAGATATAATGAAAATGATCAAATTTGTGTAAAGACAGCTGCGCCGAAAGCAAGGCAACAGGAGCAGCTTCCACGGGAAGGCTGGGTCTTCAATTCATTTCAACTTCGAAAAATAGTTGTCAAAGTTGAAAAGTAGGTACGCATTGCGTACATGTGGTTAGCCTATAGGATTGGCAATTGTTATAGCGTATAGTTAATTTCGTTCAAAATAAGCAAATTATTTCTCGTTTGCAATCGAGGCCATCTTGATTGATTTTTCAACCATTGAACCATAACATTTTTACGGCGGTTGTAGGAAGAAAATTTAAAATTTCGATGAAACCAAAGTTGCCGTTACATGCACAGCATGTAATCTGTTCCAGGAAACCTCCAAAGTCTCCAAGCAATGGGTGGTCAAGTTTTTGGTTGAACATAAAGTGATTTCCCATCGCTTTGAGTTTCGACTGACTGCATTTCCGGATGACAACATGAAGTATTAGTAATTGATTAACACTGACCAAGGAGGATGACTTTAAAACTTTCTCGTCTTGATTTGAAAGAGTTTGCACCCATTTATGACTCAAGAAATAATAGGCAATGATA